CAAAGGACTGGAGCTCTCAGAGCCAATTAGTCCTCCAGTGAACCATTTAGCTGCTGAAATAAATCCAGTCCCAGGCACGGAATCAGCAGGATTCGAGACAGAAAAGCCTGTGCGGGTACGCGGGGCATTGAGCTCGTGCAGATTCATGCACAGATGCAACTTCCTACGTTTTAATACTGAGTGCTTTTGACACACAAACTGGCCACCGAAACTCCCTTGGGTCACAACCTGCAAAGGTGGGACAGCTTTATCCAGAACACATAGACCACACAATTTCTCAAAGCTGGATCAGAATCTGTGCCAACCTAAGGTCGAGCCATGAAAGCCACCTACAGGAGTTGCATTTCCCATTCGGATATCAGGTGGGGACAAGTCCCTGCCACAGGAATGGTAAATCCATGGTGGGGTGGGAAGGGCCAAGGTGCTGCCCTGGCAGAGAAGGGTGGATGTGCCACTGCAACATCTCCCAGCAACGCTGCTGTGGGTGGAAAAACACCATTAAGGTGGGACAAAGTCTAGGAAAGCAACGGCAGAGTCTGTGTCTCCCTCTAAATGTGATGTCTCCATCATCCAGACACAAAGCCATACTTTGGACCTTCCTGCACCAGTTTGATCCCACTCATCCCCAGTATGGCTGCAGTCCCTCTCACACACTCACAGTATTTTTGCAGTCAGTTCCAGTATGATCCCAGTATGATCCCAGTAGGGGCCCAGGTGCTCCCAGTAGGATCCCAGTTGTCCCCAGCGTGGTTTCAGTTGCTCCCATTCACCCTCATTATGGTTCCAGTCAGTCCCAGTATGATCCCAGTCACTCCCAGCCACTCCCAGTATATCCCAGTTGCCTCCAACATTCTCCCAGTCAGTCCTAGTATGATCCCAGTCTCTCCTAGTTGGATTCAGGTTTCCCCCTGCATGGTCCCAGTTGCTCCCAGTCACCCCACTGTAGTTCCAGTCCCTCCTACTCCCTCCCAGTACGGCTCCAGTATGATCTCAGCAACACCCTATGTGGTGGCACTCACACCCAGGATGAACCCAGACATTCCCTGTCACACACAGGATAAAGCCATTTGCCCCCAGCAGGGTCCCACTTGCTTCCAGTATATCCCAGTTGCGCCAACATGGTCCCAACTGCTCTCAGAATGCTCCCAGTTACTCCCAGTATGACCCCAGCCACCTTCACTGTGGGCCCAATTGCTCCCAGTGTGATCCCAGTTGTCCTCAGCATGGTCCCAGTTGCTCCCAGTGGGATCCTAGTAGCTCTCATTTGCCCCTAGCATAGAACCAGTTGCTCCCAGTATGATCCTGGTCTGATCCCAGTATGATCCCAGTACAATCGCAGTTGCCACCAGTATGATCCCAGTAACTTCCGGACACTTCCAGTATGAAGCCAGTTTGATCCCAGTCATCCCCAGTATGGCTGCAGTCCCTCTCACACACTCCCAGTATTATTGCAGTCACTCCCAGTATGATCCCAGCAGGGGCCCAGCTGCTCCCAGTATGGTTCCAGTTACTCCCATTCACCCCTACTATGGTTCCAGTCACTCCCAGTATATCCCAGTTGCCTCCAACATGCTCCCAGGTGCTCCCAGTATGATCCCAGTTGCCCCAGTTCTGGTCCCACTGGATCCAGTCCAGGTCTCGGTGTATCCCGGTGTCCCCCCTGTCCCCCCACCCCGGTGTCACCCCCTTTTCTCTCCCCACAGAGCTCCTGAGCCGCCGGCGGTCGCAGCCTCTCCCCAGGGCCTCGGGCTCAGCCTGGACCCCCTCCCCGTGAGGATTTTGGGGGGGGGTCGTGTGTCCCCCCCTCCCCTGCTGTCACTCTGCCTCTGCCCGGCTGCTCCCAGTGATCCCAGTAAAGCTTCCCAGTTCTCCCCAGTCCCGGTGTTTCGGGGGTACTGGGGGGTGGAGCTTGGGGGAATCCCAAGGGGTGGAGCTGAGTTTGGGGGGGGCAGAATCGGCCCCAGGATCGATGGGGAATTGGGACCCCCATGTATTCCCCCAATGTCAACCCGCTCTGGAGGGACTTTGGGAGGGCACCTGCCCCTCAATAAAGCACCCAGCTCACCCCAAAACCTCCCCACAGGCCCCCAAGGACCCTCAAACCCACTCAAAGCCCACCCAGGACCCCACCCAACCCCTTTTCTGAGGGGACTTCTCTGGGCACTGGTGGTGCTGGGAGCCCCCACGGCTGCAGGCGAGGAGCTCTCGGGTGAGCGGGGGGTGAGAAGGGGGAGGTCGGTGGGAAAAGCAGGGCTCAGAGGGGATAAAAGGGGTGGCGGGACCCCAAACGGAGCATGAGAGGGCTGGGGACTGGGGGGATGATGTGGAAGTGGTGAGAGAGGAAGGAAAAAGTTGGGACCCCTAAACTGATCAAGGGGGGGGCTGGGGATGAGGGGACCATAAAAAGGTGGAAGGAACAGGGAGAAGGGTGGAAAAGGGGGGGGTGGTCTGGCGGGTTCGACGGTCCCATGGGGGTCTTTGGGCACCAGGAGGTTGGGAAAGGGGGGTGGTCCCCTGAGCTCTCAATTTACTGTGGGGTGCTGAGGGCTGCTGGATCCAATCTCAGCCTTGGATCATGCCAACGCTTTCAGTTTAGAGGAGTCACAGAGGTGTGACTGAAACACTTTGGTCCCCCAGGTTTTAATGATGGCAAATCGGATCTATTGATAGAAATGAATTTATTTAGGGTTCCAAATGATCCTTACCGCACACTATACGTACTGAAACTACCAGGAGTACAGGATAAGATAGAACAGTGCTCTACACTAAAGCAATTAATGAAGCAATTCTACTGAATCTGGCACAAAAGCAATAATTCCTAATTAGAGATGGATGGAACTCCCCCAGACCAACACTCATGGGGAGATCTCTGCTCTCAACCTCCAGGAGCGAGCTTGGGGGGTCCCCAGCCAAGGCAGGAATCTCCACACACCCCCAAGAAGGGTTCTGTTGGCAGAACCTGCCCCTGGGAAAGGGGACTGGCCTTTTCTGGTCGAAAGGGATGGACTGACAGTCACTGGACTCCAGGGGTTGCCTCACCATCAGGGGCTTCATTTGGGGTGGAAGCAGCAGCCGAAGCTCTTCCCGCACTCAGGGCTTCCCTTACCGGTGGGTCCGTGTGTGTTGAGTCAAGCCAGACCTGTCTGTGAAGCTCTTCCCACACTCCCCACACTTGTAGGGCCTCTCCCCAGTGTGGATGTGCTGGTGCCTGACGAGGGTGGAGTTCCGGCTGAAGCTCTTCCCGCAGTCGGTGCAGCAGAAGGGCCTCTCATCCGTGTGCGTCCGCTGGTGCACGAGGAGATGTGAGCTGGTCTGAAACCTCTTCCCACATTCCAAGCACTTGTAAGACCGTTCCCCGGTGTGGATGAGCTGGTGGGTTCGGAGGTTGGAGCTTTGGCTGAAGCACTTCCCACATTCCCCACACGTGTAGCGCCGTTCCTCAGTGTGGATGCGATGGTGTCGGATCAGGCTGGACCTCTGCCTGAAGCTCTTCCCACACTCCCCACACATATAGGGCCGTTCCCCAGTGTGGATGTGCTGGTGTTGGATCAGGCTGGAACTGTCCCTGAAACTCTTCCCACATTCCCTACACATGTAGCGCCGTTCCCCAGTGTGGATGTGCTGGTGTCGGATCAGATGGGAGCCGTTACTGAAGCTCTTCCCACATTCCCCACATGTATAGGGCCATTCCCCAGTGTGGATGTGCTGGTGTTTAAGGAGGTCGGAGCTCTTCCTGAAGCTCTTCCCACATTCCAAGCACCTAAAGGGCTTCTGCCTGCTGGGAGGCTGCTCAGGGACCACCAGCTCAGAGCTCTGCCTCAAGCTCTGGCCGCCTTCCCGGCACAGGCTGGCTCTTTCCTCCTCACAGCACCCTGGGCTGGCTTTGGAGCCCCTCCTGCGGGGGGATCTCTGGGCCTTTTCCTCCCCGCTGCCTTCCTGTGCCGTGGAGCCCTTCAAAACAGCCTCTCCCACCAGCTTCTGACAGAGGGATTTGTCCTCCGGGCTCTCCGTCCTCAGCTCGGGGCCTGAGGCAGGAAGCAAGAAGGACAGGGAGGGGATTTGCCTCCGGCCCACAGGGAAGGCCAAGGACATCCCCCCAACTCCGGCCCCGGCAGGACGGCGGCGGCAGCGGGGTTGTCCTGCAGCCGGGGGCCATGCTCGGCTGCCAGAGCCAGCACAACACCCGCCCAAAGGGCCACTGACTTCCTCCTCACCTGCCTGGGGGGGCCCAAGGCATCTTCCTCTTCCTCACAGCCTCCTCCTCCATCTGCCCGAGCTTTGGGAAGGACAAATCCTGATGGGGGGGAAAACAAGGGCTGAGCGTGTTGGCTTGAGGGTTCCTCCTGTCCAAGTCCATCTCTAGAACTCACCGGGCATCCTGTGTCCATAAAAACCTCCAAAACACCAAGATTCAGCCCACAAAAAAACCCCAAACCTCTGTGATTCAGGAAAAAAAAACCCTGCACAAGGGCCAGCTGTGCCCAAGGCAACCAAACAGCCCCACAGGCAGGGGAACACCAGAGGCTGCCCCAGGGCAACGAGAGCAGGGAGTGGATCGGGCCCCTGACACGTGGGCGGGCTCTGGGTTCAGCCTGACCAGGGGCAATTTGGCACCAACAGCACGGCCCCGACCGCTGGCTCGGCACACGGGGCCCGAACTCCCCCCTCTCCAGGCTCTCGGGGTTCTTGCAGCTCCCCCCTCTCTCTGCAGCCTCCCCTGCTCTCCAGGGCTCAAGGCATGGGGACACCGAGGCTCCCCCAAAGAAATCCCACTCCTGCTCTCCCCCCTCCCATTAGCCCCCCTCTCCCAGCCTTTTCCCATCGGCCCCCCCCAAACCCTGGCTCCCTCCAGCTCCCTTTGGGGGTGACCCATCACCCCTCACGCTCCCTTTGGGGGTCCCACCTGCTTTTTTCACCCCTTTCCCATCGTGGCCACTCCGCTCAGTGGACAGCAGCAGGAAGGGCAGAAGGTGGAGACTGAAACAAAATGGAGGATAGAATATCCTGTCCCTTGGCTCTCTCTCTGCCAGTTGAGTGTGGGGCACACGGGCTGGGGGTCCCTCCCAAGCCCCCCCGGGCAGCCAGCGTTGGGTGGGGGGATGTGAGGGCTGGGCCTGCTCAGCACAGCCCCGGCCTCGTGCCCAGCGCCTCTTTCCTGCCCCACACAAGAGCTTCCCGGCCCCACAGGGCTCCCCTGCTGCTGCCTCTGCTCCTGGCCCTGCCTTTGCTGCTCCCTTGGCTGGGCCAGCGGCTGCAGGGGGGGGATGGCAGCAGCTTCAGCTCCACGGCAGTTCCTGGGGGGAGCTCAGCCCAGGGGGGACGGGCAGGGACCTGATGGGGATGGACAGGGGCCCAGCAGGGACAGACAGGGCCTGCAGGGGAAGGCACAGGGACAACCTGGCCCCCCACACTGCCAGGGCTGGCTCTGCTCCTCCTTGCAGGCTCCGTGGCCAGGCAGAGTTTCTGTTCCTCAGCAGCACCTCTGCCTTGCACTTATTCTCAGTCTCACCTCAGGGACAGCTCTGGGCTCACCTCCGCGCCACTTCTCAGCCTCACCTCAGGGCCTGGGCTCAAGGACAGGAACCTGCAGGGAGGGGACATGATGTGCAAGCTGAGGGCTGCCTGCTTGCACTGGCCTCTGGGCTTCTTTCTCCTTCTACAACCAGCCCACAACTCAGCCTGCTTTTCTAACACCACACATTTACAGACTAACCTTGCAGATATATATGGACACACATCTCTATCACCCTGGGGATGGAGCCTCAAGCAGGTGCTGCCATAGGAATGGGAATCAGAGAATCACAGAATCAGCCGGGTTGGAAAAGACCTCCAAGATCATCAAGTCCAACCCTGGATCCAACCCCGCCGTGCTTCCCAGACCATGGCACTGAGGCCACATCCACTCTCACCTTCAACACCTCCAGGGACTCCACCCCCTCCCTGCCCAGCCCATTCCAAGGCCTCATTACTCTCTCGGCAAAAAATTGCTTCCCAATATACAACCTAAACCTCCCCTGGCACAGCTCAAGACCCAGCCCTCTTGTCCTACTGCTGCTTCCTGGCACAAGAGCCCCACCCCCACCTGGCTACACCCTCCTGGCAGGGACTTGTAGAGCGTGATGGTTCCTGCTGGGGACCCGAGGGAGCCTCTGCAATCCCATCCCTGGGGCACAATCTCCTCTCCAGAGCTTGACTCACTGCAGACCTCGCAGGGAAACCTCTGCGCGCAGCTGCATCCTGAGCCCAAGGTCAGTTTGTATCCCCAAGTGCTGATCCAAGGGGTGCCCTGCGATTGGAGTGTGTGTCCCTAAGGAGGACTCTTGCCTTAGCATTGCTTATTATTTGTAATATCTTACAGATCTATCATACAATAGCTAAGGATGGATTCTGTAGAATATGTGCCATATATATGAGACAGAATATATCTGATTATTGCTTTATCTGACTGTCCAGGTAGATATTGTGTATGCACAGAGATTGTATTTGAGGGATATGCTCCTCTCAATACCCTGTGAGCTCCACTCCCAAGGCCACCAAATTCCTGAAGCTCCCACTTCTGTGCCCTGCAGGTTTTGGCAGATTTGCAAGAGCAGGGGAATCATTCCCTGCAGCCCCTTTGCACTGTAGGAAATGGGAGCACTGGGCACATCCTGCTGCCTCCAGATTCCATTCTGGGGGTGGGAACCACCCTGTGGGGAGCAAAGAAATGCCTGGTTCTGCAGGAGCTGCAGATGCTCAAGGGGCAGCAGGAACAAGTCAAGGACCTGAGGGGGCCTGGGGGGCTTTGGGGTGCGGGAGGGTCCTGGGGGAGCTGGGGAGGGGCTTTGGGGTGCGGGAGTACAGACTAGCACAAACCAGGACAGACCATTACAGACCAGTCCCTCCTCACTGCTCCCCAGATCTCTGCTGGAGCTGGGCCACCTTGTCGTGGGACACCTGAGCCCCCCCAGTGCCCTCCCAGTACAGCCCAGTGCCCCCAGTACAGCCCACTGTGTTCCTGTCCCAGGGTGCCAGGTGATCCCTCTTTGGGGGGGGGTTGGAAGGGATTTGAGGGGGGGCTGGGGGAGATTTGAAGGGATCTGGGGGGGGTTGGATGGGGATTTGGGGGTCTTTGGGTGTATCTGGGGGAGTTAAAACAGGTTTTGGGATCATTGGGGCATC